TTTTGGAGTTTGCATTCAAGTGAACTTATTAAAACAATATTTATTTCTGTTAACATTTCTGGTTAGTGCAAAACTTACACGTTTCTCAGAAGTGATTTCTGCCTGCCTAACTCATTCTGTGGTCTCATTATTCAGTGGATGTTACATCAGAAGTCATGTTGGAGGTGATTGTCCTGAACAAATACTGACTTTATGATATCATTAGTTGAACTAGACAGAAAGAGAAGAGTTAGGAAAATATGCTGTCTGGCCACCCTGTATTAAAAGTATTTTTTGGAAAGGCAAGAACAGTTCTTGACCGTACAGGAAAGACTCGATCATGCTTTGGTAAATCTGAAGCTTTTCACAGCCTCAGCTACTATATGCCTTGAAATACTTTGAGATGTTTATTCAGAAAAAAAATGGCTATAAATTAGGGTATGAGGAAGAAAACCACAAAATCCCCATCATGTTACATATTTTGTCCTAAATGATTTTGCTGGAAAATTTTTAGGCATTGTATGTATTGTATTGTATTGTTTCTTTTCAACTGATTTGTTTTAAGTCTGTTCATAGACTTTTTTCCTGTACATATTGTATTTATTCTTATCAGAAATCACGTATCCTAAAGAACAGAATTACTTGAGATGAGTCTTCCTTTCTTTTGATGGTGCATTTGAAAGAGTAAATACAGAGGTTTTTTAAAATATGTTTAAAAAGAGAAACAGCCCCTCCCCATATTTATTTAAGGTTCATAAACTAAGAAGCAGAGGGAAAAAGGTCACTTTGCTGGAGGAACTCCATATGTTAGCATTATTTATGCAGTGTTGCTGACAAAAGTATAATGAAAAATATAAAAATGTGTCATTATAATAGGCATGCAGGAAGCAAGTGCATCGCAATTTAAAGTAACTGAAACTCACGGACAATAGTCCAGCTTTATACAGACCCTTCTCTGAACACTCCCATCCTTTTAAATCTGTATTAAAATTGTGAAATGACCTGGAACTGAGATTCAAGGAACATTAGTCAGAATTAGCATGTCAGTGAAGGCATGGAAAGGGGAGGCAAAGGATCTGGATATCTCTTGTGAATAGCTTGAGAGGAAGCTCTAGTCAGTATGGTGAGGTATGAAAAACAAAAACAGAAGATAGTATATTATATGCTTCCTTTTAAGCTGGTGTTGATGATTCCTTGAATATCACACTCTTTTCTCTCTCTTCCAGAAAAGATACAGAAGATGGTGATGAAAAATCTCCCTTTCTTGAGAATGGGGCTTTTTTTGGCATAGTTCCAACTTAATTGTGGAACTTACCATCAAAGGTATGGGTTTGGGGCTGCTGGTGGTGGTTGGTTTTGGGTTTAGTTTGGTTGGTTTATTTAATAGTAAGAGTGCATAATGTCATGGAGGCAGAAGTTAGTCACTAAGTTGTAAAGATTTGGGATAGATTTCCATTATAGACATTCGTTTTGTTTTTTCCAGAATCTCACTGCTTATTGCTCACATGTTATTCTTAGCAGGTCAAGTATTTCAATACTTGTATCTTTCTGTTTCGTTTGTTGAGCTGTTATTTCCCCTTCTGAGGAAGTGCTGTGAAGTCATGGAATCTCTTCTGCTCTGGTAAGATGGAAAACAGATGGATTCCTCAGCGGTCAGCAGTATTTCTAGCTGCCACTGTTCTTACTTTTGGCCTCTGTGTTTCTGCCACTCTGTGATTTCCCTTTCCTAAATCCATGCTGACTACTCCTAAACAGCTTCTTATCCTTCATGTGTTTGGAAGCAGTTTCCAGGATTATTTGCTTCACCTTCCCCTTGTGAGGGGATCAGGGTGAGGCTAACAGGCATGTAGTTGCCTGGATCCTCCTTCTTGGCCTTGAAAACAGGGTTGACCCTTGCTTTCTTGAGTCCTCTGGAACCTCACCCTTCAGTTTAAAAGATTCAAATGTAGTTGAGGGTAGCTTCACAATGACAGGGCTAACTCTCTCAGCACTCACGGTGACATCAGGGTCCAAGGAAGTGTTATTTAAGTGTTATTGTTAAATGTTTAAGAGTTTCTTAATCTGATCTGCACTCAGATCAAGTCTGTTTTGATCCAGACTTTCCCACTGGTCTCAGGGGTCTGGGATTCCAGAAAGCAAGTCTTACCTGTGAAGAGCAAGGTGAAGAAGGCACTTTGAGCTTTCTGTATCCTTTCACCAGGTAGCCCGCCTCATTCAGCAGCAGGCCCTCTACCCTTCCTTATGCTGCTAATGTAGCTGTACAAGATTTTCCTTTTGACCTTCGTATCCCTCACCAGATTCAGCTCCAGGTAGACTTTGCTTTCCTAACCCTATCCCATTACACCCAAGTGGTGATTCTGTATCAGGTGTGTGCACATACTTGATGTGGCCCCACTTCACCTCTGTTTTTTTAATTATAAGATCTCTTGTCCTCTTCATCCTGCATCCTTTGCTTGCAAACCCTGACTGCCATTTCCTTAATCATAGGCCACCACCTCCCTCTCTCATCGTTCCTAGTCTAAGCCTTCCCTTAGCAGATTGACCAGCCTGTTGACAAAGATGCATTTACCCCACATAGTGTCAGGTGGATCTTCTCCCCCATCCCCTGCAGTTCTTGATCCTCACAGAAGGTCCTGTCGATGTAAAAGTTGAGTTGCAACTTTTGACACAAGCTGCACAACCATCCTGTTGGTCCATGAGGTCTGTCTACTCCTCCCCAAGTCCTTTCCCTTCACCAGCAGGATGAAAGAGACATCCTCTGGTTCCCGGTCCCTGGTCCTCATATTCCAAGCCACATACTCATGCGTGAAATGCTCCTGGTCTCCCCTGGCTGTATCTGTGGTGCCCGTATGGAAGAGCAGCTGAGGGTAATAGTCTGAGGGCCAGACTACTATCAGCCTCAGTAGCAGCTTTTCCATGGTATCCAGGACCCAAGGCCCTGGGAAGCAGAAAACCTTGCCAGGTGACAGGCTGGGCTGTCAGAGGCGCCCCTGTCCCTGCAGCAGGGAATTTACCACCACTGTTCCTTGCCCTCTACTGCCTGTGCTGCCACAGGACAGAGGCACAGCCAGCTCAGTGGCTTCATTAGAGAGAACTGCCTGTCTTTGCCTGCTACCAGGGCTCAGAACGTGCCCTGTAGATCAGAGGTGCAAGTGGAGCAGGAATTGTTGTCCTGGTGCAGAAGCTCACAAGCTCCCAGGTGTTGCCAGGCTTAGCATCTGCATGCCCAGCTTGACAAGCTAAGCCTCTGCCTGGTTCTCCTCTGTGCAGTTGGGATTCCTGTAGCTGCAGGGTCTTGGAGGAGGTCGGGTTCATCTCCTTTTCAGCATCACTGAGTGGCCTGCTCACCTCCTCCCACAGCTTCTCTGCTTGTGGTGACAGATTCTCCATGAGTGCACACTTAGAAGGATATAAAATGGTTTTTCGTTCTAAACCTGCTGGTTGCCAAAGCTAACTTGCAACATGGGCACTTTAAGAACTGGCAGATTCAGGGGTATAATACTGTATCATTTATATGTCTACATACAGGGGTAGTATATTAATACCATGTATACAGCTGACTGGTGCATGCATGCTATGTATAGTAATATTAGAAAAGGGTAGTAAATTAGGCCAAAATAGGTAATAGGCTCTTTTTTTCATGGATTTAAAAACTGTTTTAAGGGCACAGTAGCTGTATTCAGTATGCAACATGGGTTATAAAACAAGTGTTAGCAAATCTAATGCATTTTTAAGGAAAAATATAAGGACTTAATACTCTGCTGTACTTGATTGATAACACTGTTGCATGGGAAAACAGCAAAGGATTAGATAAGTGCGCAGGAAGAGTGTAAAAAAATGTCAGAGAGCTTATTTGAGTCTAATTTTGCCTAGAGATCTAGAAAAAGAAGAAAACAAGACATCAATGCAGCCTGTGGAGAGAAATTGTGAATGCGAGTGACCATAGACAAACATGAAACAAATAAGCAAAACTGGAAACAGAGATGTCTGACTAATAAATAAGTTGAAATTTTCAGTAGAACCTGAAAGGAATGGAAGAAAATCCATCTGAGAAGTACAAGTTCTCTGAAGCCCAGAAATCAGGGATATCAATGGGTAGGAGGGTAGCTTGGAGTTTATGTGTGTTGTAATATTAAGATAGGTATATGTAGGCAGCCCAGCAAAAAATGTAGCTAGTAATCCTTCCCTTGAAGCTTCTGCTGAACAATCCTTATGACTTGGTGCTGTGTTTTTATTAAGGTAGCTTATGAAGCTCTGAAGTTCATACTGGCTTGATGAGGTTTCTTCCACCTAAAACAAAAAAGAACCTTGCACACTAAACTATCAGAATGAGATCTTGATGTTTTAAGTCTGATTAATAGTGAGAAAACTTAATATTGTATGATACCTTTTAATAATCTATGTGGAATATATTAGGATAGTGTGATTCCTTTCTCTCTAGTGGTTTGGTATAAATGCCTTTAAAGTGGCTTTTTAAGCATGGAAAAATGAAAAATTCCTGGGGAAGCTTGTGACTATTTAAAGCATACAAGCTTTAAAAAAAGTAATGTTGAAATATAGTTGGGAGACTACAATAGGTCGATGGGATGAATCCTTGTGCAACATAAATCATTCCCTGTATTTCTTGTTTGCTTCACAGGCGTTTTATTGTGATGAGAGGCTTCTTTAATGTTTGTATCTTTTATTGCTGTCAGCTGGCTGGCAGTTGTTTGCTTTACCTATTACTTAACAGTTTTCCCAGGTACTTGTTTTACTTGAATCTTGATGATAAATGCTACTTTTTAGCAAAACCATAAAATATTTCTCTTCCTGGTACTTGAAGAGTGTATGTGAAATATCTGTAAGTTTTCATATAATTTCTTAAAACAGTGGCTGACAAGGTAGGTTTTTTTATTTGAATGTGTGTGAAACTGTGCAAGATGCATGATACTATTTAATTTACTCTTTTTTAAAAAAATATTCTCTCTCTAGGATAATCTTTTCTGCCTGGGTTGTGACAGACGATTACATTTTTGTGTTCAATGGGACGACAAATTCACTTTGTGGTTGACCCTCAGGGTTGGTGCTGCATGGGCCTGATTATCTTCGTCTGGCTGTACAACACAATCTTCATTCCGAAAGTCATCCTTTTTCCTCACTATGAAGAGGGACATATTTCAGTTGTGGCAATTTTATGTAAGTCAATTTAAGTTAGCCCTTTTTTCTATTAGGAAAAATAATATCTTTGGGCAGTAGTTACCATAAATGAGAAAGGTCAGAAAGTAAAGAGAAAGATGCAAAATTAAGATAAAGGATCAGAGTAATGGGACGCATCCTACGTTTTTGTCTTCTGAAAAGTTGAGACACTTCATTTCAGAAGTGTTATGGTAAAACTTACTTGCATGGAAACTGGGGAGAAACATTAATGTCACTTTCAGATCCTGTAGCTAGAACTTACTGATAGAATTTCAGGCCCATTATTCTACTCTTAATGCTCTTTGGGTTGTTAGTACTGGTGATTGACAAACCGAGTTTTGTTAGTTCATCGTACATCCCTGGATGGGGTCAGCTAATATGAGTTATGCTAATAGGTTTCGCTGGGGAATAGGCTTGAATTATAATGGGAACCAACTTTTAAGTGCAGAAGGGCTGTTGGCAGTGTCCTTTCACATAGCAGCTTTGAGGTGTAGAATGATTGATGCTTGTTTGATAGGACAGTGGAGAAACTTCTCAAATACAGTCATAAGGTCATAGTGGCATCCTGCTAGTGTTACCAAAACAGGGTTCAATGCTGTATTCTCCTTTTCCTTTTATAGACTGAGGAGTGCTTAATATTTTAGACTGTAGAGTACCTAATATATATATGTAGTTGAATGAGAAGGCTGAGTTATTTATTTCCAGCTCAGTGCTGGAGAATCTATATTTTTGATTCAGTGCACAGCAGGTATTTTTTACACTTGAAAAAAGCAAACAAATACTTTATTTTTTCAGGTTACTACTTCTGCTCATTGTTTTGTATAGCTTCATTACTAAGAGCCTCAGTAGCTGATCCAGGAAAACTACCTGAAAACCCAAAGATACCAATTACAGGTATGTTGTTTCTATATAATTGAATAAAAGATATTTTAATGCCCTCAAAAGAATCAGGAATCAGTCTGATTTTGTGAGACTTGATGGAAATCATGAGCTGTCTCTGCTGAAGCCTTATTGTTAGTCGAATGAAAATTAGTATATCACTGTTTTCAACTTGTAAATTTCTAACACTTTCCTTTCTGTAGACTCAAAACTTGTTATTCAAAGCTTGTATTCCAGTGAAAGTTCACTTAGGTAGGACCTTAGGCTAGAAAATTTTTCCATAGGAAGAATCTTTTTTTTTGCATTCTAGAATTTCAGACATATTGTGTCTACTTGTAATTTGATAATATTTTAGAAAAAAAAAATTAGAGATGGTTAGTCATTATCATTCTACAGCTTTTTTCTGAGTAAATTTTTAAGATGTTCAAAGGGATGGTAGAAGGTACCCTTATGCTGGATTTTACCTGTGCTTTTTTATACACTTTTATTTTCAATGATGTAATATTTGTATAGCTGTTAGCCAAGTGTGATGCTAATTGCATTGTCTTACTATAAAGTAGAAACTTAACAGAATTCTCTTCTGACCTTGTGAATTTATCCCACAATTCTGATGCTCCAGAAATTGGAGAAAAATTTGAAACCTGAATAATCCTCCACAGAGAAAGCTAGTATTTTTGTGAACTGTTTGTTGCTATTGAGGTTCTTGTCTAATGCACAGAGCTTTTACATAACAGTTTAAAAAGAAATAGGGCTATTAAACAGCATGAGCTTTGTCACATTAACAGAAAATACTCATTGAACGTAGGAAATGTATCAAATGCAGTGAGGGGTGAATATTTCAGTTTTGTCTTGCAACATTGTGGTTGCCAGAAGCAGCAATTTTCTCCCTGATGTTAGTGAGAATCTAGGATGAGGTTTGGAATCATGATCTGTTTAGCTTCAGCACTGATATTATGATGTTCACAAACTAGGCAGCCGAGAGTGGGAAGGGATATATTTCCCTAGGATTCGGGTGTGAAACACTGATCACAGAAAATCTTGTATCAATGTTCTTTCTGCTCCTGGTTACTGAGCCTCTGATCCATAAAATGAAAGGTGGCTTAGAACTTGGATTCTGCAGTCATGTAGCAGGAAGAATGACATGGATTCTGCAGCCCAAGCTGAAGAATGAAGACACTCAGTACAGTTATAGACAATTATATTTATGGCCGAGTGTTTGTTTACCTGCAAAATACCAGGACCAGTGCAAATTCCCTTTGTGCATGAATGTTTCTTTCACTTTTAAAGGATCCCTTTGATTAGCTCTTCAACATCTTCATGCTCCATTTCATATTGCAATGTTACTTTATAGATACTTCTGAAGATGGACACTTAGGCTTGACTGTGACATGGGTGTTATGATTTGGTGTACGCTATATCAAGCATAAAAAAGTAGCATTTCTGTTTCTGATACTCTCTAGGTTGATGGTAAGATATATTTTACATTGTATAAATTGCATTAAAAAATGAGGTTGGGGTGTTTCTAAACTCTGCTGGTAGCTACCCTATTACGGAGCAACACCTTTGTGACACTGGATTTATGGGAACAGATTGTAAATTAAGTTTCCATCTGGCATTTTTACTAGTTTAATGTTCTCACATACTAGGCTTCTTTACTTCCAATGTCCAAATGTTGTTTTACAGTAAGAAAGACAAGATTAGAGCTGCCTGCAGGTGGCTCAGAAGTCAGAAGTGCTAAATTTAATTAACATAGAGACAATGCGTTATAAAATTCCAGAATGCCCTACTGTGAAAATTAAGCTTTCTTTTCTTTTCTTCCCCCCCCCCCCACCCCCGCCCCAGGATTTAAGTTGTTTCTCAGCATCAAAAAAGTTCTAGTTAGGTAGAAACAAATCAGCTGAAATATTTAAGATTCTCCGTCATGCACTAGTTTTCCTTAAAGACAAAAAATACGTGCTTTTGTGAATGGAAGTATTACGGTGTTAGTGTGATTTGCTTCACATCTGAAGGTGAACTTTCTGATTACTCCATTTTCAAAGTCTTTGTCTAATTTGGATGATGTTTGAGGTAAATAGTAGCTAAGCTCAGCAATGGTAGCTCCTGGTAGTTTCTGCTGCTTGGTTTCTCTGGACATCAGCTTAAAGAATCTCACTTTGGGCATCCAAAAGTAGTGTGTATTTTTAAATACAAAGCTAACCTATTTCTGTTCTTTGATTACCTTATGTGTAAAATTTCATGCTGTTATATGCATGTTTTAAAATCCTTCAAGATAGAAGCTACTCCTGAAGCTTTTCCTTGTATATTTTATTTTAGTTATCTAACTTTGACAAATTTGAGAATCAGTATTTCCTCAGGAGATTTTGGAATGACAAGGAAATTGTAGGATGGTTTGGTCTAGCAGATAAGTTTTTTCACAGTAGACATGTAAAAAAAAATTTGAATTACAGTCTTCCTTGTTTGAGTAACAGCTTTTGTGCTGTAGTTATTTTTTGTGCTGTAGTTATTACTCTATAGATACGTATAGGAGAGAGGATTTTGGAGAAGAGAACTGACAGAGTGGCAGAATTATCTTGCAGTTTAATTAAAGTGACAGTGGGGAAAAAAAGGTGTTTTATACATTGCTTACCCTTCTCATATCATAAGAATAATTTTTTCTCTCTTTGAATGTAGCATGTAGCTTTATCATAAACTTGTTTAAATCTCTTCTACATTTTCACCTAGAACGAGACTATTGGGAATTATGTAACAAGTGCAATATGATGAGACCAAAGCGTTCACACCATTGTAGTCGTTGTGGACATTGTGTGAGGAGGATGGATCACCACTGTCCATGGTAAGACCAGAACATTTGTTCTAGCAGTACACTGTTGTTTCAGTGAATTATTTCAAAGTTCATGGTCTTGACTGCTGGTCATTTGTCATATTTCTTTCCTAGTACTGCTTGATTATTTAGGCGTTTTGAGCAGGGAAAGAACTTTCTTATGCCCGTAAGTAATACTGACAGTAAGAACTGTTGTGATGCAATGTTTTGTTATTGTCAAATTCTTATATGCCATATAGTTCTGGAAAATTCCCGTTTTGTTTAAGGAATTGGAATTTTTGTTCCTAAGACTGATCTCAACAAAATTGATTTGTACATTGCAGATATGTTTCATTGGTTGCAATTTAGTTTCTAATGCTGGGAAAACATATATTTTGTAGGAAATTAAACAATATACATGTTCCTTGGATTGAAATAAAAGATTACAGTTTAAACATAATAGAGGATGCTCCTTATAATAATAAAAATGGATCATTGTTTCAGGCAGTTTTTGATTTTAATTTTCTGAATGACAGTGCTGAGTAGAAAATGTTACTGACTCATACCATTCCCCACTTGTCATAGCCTCTCTATTTTTGTAGTGTTTGCTAACTAGTTTCAGTCAAAATGAACTAATCTGGCTAAAATTCTCTACTTAAATTGATTGTTTGTAGCTTAAAATAAAAATAAACATTTTTGACTGGTTCTGAGGCGAGACAGCAAGACAGCAATAATGAATGGCAGAGGACGGGATTTTCTCATGTTGATTTAGTAATTTTTTAAACTAGACTTTTTATCAGTCACTACTTCAGAAGATAGTGCCAGCTTAGTGCTTCTGTCGTTATTGGCTGTGCCAATGCTTCTATGAAATTGTACCCCGACCACATTTTTTGCAGCAATGTAATTTCTGTAAATCAGACTAGACTTAGATTTCAAAAGTTTTGAACCATGTACTTAATATTTATATTATCTTTATGAATCCTTTACTGCTTTATGTTGGAATACACAGAATGAGCTTCTGAGTAGAGATGCTGTTGTGTCTTCTGTGTCTTCGGCTCATTCCTAAGTCATGCTGATTTGTCATTAGGGTATTCTGTGAGATCACATTTATTTCAAGCCATTCATTTGTATTTCCAGTGTTTGGGCTCTGCATAGTTCACAACACTTGAAATGTGTTGAGAAGCAAAAAGTAATACATATTACTGTGAAATTTTGCAAACTTAAGAAAATGATTTTACTCTTGAACATTACGTGGAAGTTGTAGGAGTATCTTTGCTGTATGAAGATATGGAGAAATATGTCTCCTATTCTAAGCAGAAATCTTGGTAATAGAATCATAGAATGTTAGAATGTGTTGGGCTGGAAGGAGCCTTTAAAGGTCATGTAGTCCAGCTCACCTGCAGTCAGCAGGGACATCTTTAACTTGACCAGGTTGCTGAGAACCACTCAAGCCTGACCTTGGATGCCTCCAGAGATGGGGCCTCCACCACCTCTTGGGGCAACATGTTCAGAGTTTCACCACCCTCACAGTAAAGAACTTCTTCCTAACATCTAATCTAAATCGACTCTGCTCTAGTTTAAAACCATTGCCCCTTGTCCTGTTGCTGCACGCTCTTGTAAACAGTCCTTCCCCAGCCTTCCTGTAGCCCCCTTCAGGTACTGGAACGCTGCTCTGAGTTCTCCCCAGAGCCTTCTTTCCTCCAGGCTGAACAGCCCCATCTCTCTCAGCCTGTCCTCAGAGGGGAGGTGCTCCAGCCCTCTTGTCATTTCTATGTTCCTCCTCTGGACCCACTCCAACAAGTCCATGTCCTTTTTGTATTGAGAGCTCCAGAGCTGGACACAGTGCTGCAGGTGACGTCTCACCAGAGCAGAGCAGAGGAGCAGAATCACCGCTCTTGACCTGCTGGCCACGCTTCTTTCAATGCAGTCCAGCATGCCTTTGGCCTTCTGGGCTACAAGCGTGCATTGTTGGCTCATGTCCAGCTTTTTGTCCACCAGTACCCCTAAGTCCTTTTCCACGAGGCTATTCTCTGTCACATGATCCCCCAGCCTGTACTGATAATGCAGATTGTCCTGACCCAGGTGCAGGACTTTGCACTTGGCCTTGTTGAACCCTATGAGATTCATATGGGCCCACTTCTCCAGCTTGTCCAGGTCCCTCTGACATATTGACCTCATCTCATAGCTTGATGTCATCTGCAGACTTGTTGAGGGTGCACTCAGTTTTACTATGTGATTGATGAAGATACTGAACAGCACTTGTCCCAGCACAGAGCCCTGAGGGACACCACTTGTCACCCAATACAACCTACACTTCAAGTAGCAGTGTAAGGAAACCACTATTTGCCATCGCTAACACAGAGACCATAACTGTGATTAGGAATGGAGTGATTAGTCAGTAGTTCTTATGTTTGCTCCATAAGTAATCGTAATTTCTGTTACTCACAGTATCATAACTGCAGTGTTAAAGTCTTTGTACTTCTGTCTTTATGTATACAATTTGTTTTTCTGCAGGATTAATAATTGTGTTGGTGAAGACAATCACTGGCTGTTTTTACAGTTGTGTTTCTACACTCAGATCCTTAGTTCCTATACGCTGATACTAGATTTTTGCCATTACTACTACTTTTTGCCTCTGAAAAAAGAAAATGGGGTAAGAACTTGTTTTCTCTACAAAGTGAATAAATAGCTAGTATTTCAATGTGATATCTGGTTACTGCACATTTCTGCTAGCTCAGTTTTTGAGAGTGAGGAGAGTTCAGCTACATGTATGTCACCAAGTGAGCAACGCATTTATGGTCAGTAACAAAATGCCATTCTGCAAGAGTTTACAATATTTATGTGTTAAAAACAACATTAGTTTTCTTAGAAATCTAGGAAAGGAGGACAGAACCAGTTCCTTTGCATTTATACTGTACCCTAACAAATACAAGTGCATCGAATAGAAAAACCTGGAAAACAAGCTTAAAACATAGTCTAAGTTAGATAACATTCCAGATATCCAAAGAGATTAAGACCATCCCAGAAATTGGTAGTGTACCCTAAATCTTCCTGAGATTTTTTCCACTACTGAAGTGCTGCAGATTTTTTTATTCCGAGTTGATGTGACACCCTGGCATACCCTCTGCTGGTGGCATCACACTCATCTTTCAAGTCTGCTGGAGACTGGCCTTTGGTTATGGGTAAGGCAAGTCTCATTTTCCAGTCTGCTGAACAACTTAAGCTTGTCGTATTATTTTGTATTCTACATAAAAAATAAGAACAAATATTCTAAATAAAATAAGAATGTTAAACTTCTTGAAAAAATCTGCTTCTGGAAAAGAGTAAGGCATAGCCTTCCAAGCTTGTTATTTGCTCCCATATGAGCCTGCAGCAGATGTGATATCCCCAAGAAAACATATGTGAAAATGATGTGTCATAGGAGAGATGCAAATGTAAGAAAACTGTATTCCTTGGATCATCCAGAACTGAAAAAAGTGCAATAATTGTGTTGATGGTTACAAGCTTATTATTATGTGAGGGTTATATGAGTATTTCTGCAAGTCTTTCTTAAAATAACTTCTAAAGGAATTCCATTTTTTATTTTTTTTCACTGGTATGCATATTTCTGTTTAAATGGTTTAAGGAACTTCAGAAATGTGGAAAAGAAGAATTTGCTGTTTGCGTCGAGCATCTTTCCACAGACACTATCCTGTAAACTGAGACAGACCTGTAAAATGTGTCTCTTAGAATGAAGTACTCACGTTTTTTTACTTTGTTTCAAGTTTGTTGCAGATGGGCTTTACATTTTCACCTTGTTTTACAGGTATTGTGAAATTTGAGTGAGCTATTTTGATTTGTTACATTCAAGTTGAACGGGATATGGAATTGTAGTCTTTCTGTATTGGTGACAAAATCTGTCATCTAAGTAAAATTTCTTACGTATATCTTACATTTGGGGTTTTTCAAAGTTAATGTTTTTGGAAGGTAACTTAATGTAAAGGCCTTTGCTTCTAGTTTCAGTAGCTTTGTAAACATTTTAATTTATAAACAAAGTTGACCTACTGTATTTCTGGATAAAGTAGTCTTATACTTTCTATATACTGAAGGCTTCCCGTGCTCTGGGTTTGCAGGTTTCAAGCTCAAAGCTTCTCAGTGATACTGATCTCAATGCTGGATTGGCTGTTGCAGTGCCTCTGGAAGTGTTGTTTTCCAAAGATAAAATCATTGTATGAAATTAGTGATGCTTCTCTAATAGTGTAATTTCATGGCACAACATTTCATTTTTATTGTGAGAGTCTCTTGAATGCTCTAACTTACCTGAAGTAATCACACTGTGTTTAAAAAAAAATGAACCTAAGTTCTCTTTGAAAGGGAACCAAATCTTTTGCTTGGAGATGGTCTGTGGAAGAGAGCAAAAGGGAAATCATGTTTATTCAGACAGTTTGCAACCTCTAAATAGGTTTATAATACATAGTTTTTAATAATAGCAGTTCAAAAAAATGAGTTTGTATAAAACTTTGTTCTTCATGATTTAGCTGGGTTAATTTCAAGTCCTTTGGAGCATGGCCTACTTTTAATACCTACTCTATAGAAGATTTAACAGCTTTGGAGGCAGAATACATATGCAGTAATTCATTTAAGCCAGTTTAAGTAGTTGCCTGAACAGTGGATTGACTTTTCATGTTTGTCTCTCTGAATTCACAGAGTCATAGGAAAAATGTAGTATTTTGTTCTATATGGTTTTGGTTTGTCTTAACTATGGGTATTTTTGCTTTATCAATTTATATATGTCAGCAGTTCAGATGGCACTATTCCATTTGAAAAACTGGATCTGTGTATACCGTGTAACATTCTGTGTCCCAGAGAGTTAAATATGTTTGGAACATATAGAAAAACTTAACTAGACACAGCAGATTTGGTCTGTTCAGACCCTTGTTAAGTCTGATATTACACTGAATAGTTTTTAGCTTTCACAGTTTTTCAGATGCAGCATTGAGGGCACACACTGAAGTACAGAAAATTAAGAATAATTTGTTTGGGTGTCTAGCCAATATATCTGCCTGGAAGATGATGTCAGAGATGCATTAAGGTGATTTTTTTTAAGTGTTGCTAAGGATATGGTGCCATATAACTTTGTGCCACAGAATGAACAGGATCAGTGAGAAGATTTACTTATGATTAGTTAGTTTTTTAGACAAGCTGAAAGGTTTTTTGTCTTTGTATGTCAGCTAAAGCTGAAGTACCACAGCATTCCAGAGACTGCAGTACCTTCTACATTTCATGGAAGCACTAGTCTGAGTTGAAGTTTTGGCTGTAACAAAGAGCTTATATTTTCTGAATTCATAGGGGCTAGTGTTTAGCACAGATTCAAAAAAAATGGATTTTTCTTCTAAACAGCCATCTGGAATTAGCTTATTCTTGCTCATTAAAAATACTTGTGAATTTTTGGCTTTGTGCCTTCATCTTAATTTTTATTCCCTGGATAAAAAATACTACATAAAATAGAAGCTGTATAATTAAAATTGCTTTTAGTGCTGTTGTGAAATAATCATTCTATCGCAGTACTGATTATGAAAATATGATTACTGTCTGTGTGTTAGTATTTCCTTGTATTTTTATTGTATTGTTATTTTTAAAGAGTTAAGAAAACCCCAAACGTTTTTAATTAAGTATACTAATGTAAGGGTGATAACTTTAAAGCTAATGGAGAAAGCCATTTCAACAGAGCTAAAAATTTTCATTTTCAGGTCTTATGGCAGAAAATTGCTTCAGTAGTGTTCTTGGCTCTTGTAGTGCGTTCTGTCAGAAAGATGTGTTGTGATTGTTGCTGCTATTTGGCCAGTAGGAGGAGTACCATTACTGCTAGAAATGAAAGAAATGGGAGCTACCTCATGTGAGATCCTGGCAGAAGAAAAATACATAGTGCGAACAAAACAACAAATGAGTTCCTCTGCTAGCTTTGGTGATTTTCAGAGGCTGAAACTGGAACGTTTAGTTAGATTTTACATCTTCATTAAAAACCATCAAGGTCAGGAAATCTGTATCTTAATACGCAGTATTAAATCGTGTGGATAAGATGCGAAGAATAAATACTAGTCTTTTTGTGATTACATAGTTGCTCTCTACGTGGCAGTACTGGCACAGGTCCTAGACACAGCTGGTCTAGTAGAAGCAAAAATAAATGCCTTGTCAGTATATTTTACCTGAATCACAGAAGGCTTCTAATATTTTCAGCGGAAGAAGTTTTGCTGATATGTTCTGTTTGCTAAAATGATTGTCATAGAAAAAAACACTGAAATATGAAAACCTAAACCCTTTTCCTCTGTTTTAGTTTTATTTTCTTCCTGGTTCTGCAGTTATAAATTGTATAACATGAAAATACAGTTAATTAACTAATTATAAAATGTTGTGAGCTCTGTTGGTAGAGAGGAGAGGAAACATCATAGAGGAAGCATTGTGTCAATATCAGCCTGCTCTGTCTGGCACTCAGCTTTCTCAATTCTAGATAAAAGACACTGGGAAGTATTCATTAGGCCTTACAAGAAAATTATTTGCAGTAATATTTATTTCAATATTATATATTAACAAGTATTAATTAAAATCTGGAAATATGCATCATACATTTATATTGTAAATAGAATCTAAAGGAAACATTTTCTCTTAGGGTCCTGAGAAGACCTACAGAGTGTGAGAATTTTTAAAGAAACGAAACTACATGAAAATTTTCTTTCTCAGTGTTCTGGAAACCAACCTACGCCTGCTCTCCTTCTGTCTAATTATAAGGATAGTGTATGAATAGCAAATTAAATTTAGAAAGTAAATGCATGGTCTGTAGAAAAAATATAGGAACAACTGAGAAGATAACATTTTGCCAAAACTTAATATATTGGTAGTCTTTTTAATGCAAAGATTGTATGGCCTTTTCTTAAAATCTGTCCTAGTCTGAAATTATTTTAGAATTATCATTTTTGAAATCCTGTGTAGACAGTAATTTTTGGAATCAGAGTGCTATTCCCATTTTCAGTTTAAACCAAATGAATCATGAATCAGACTGGAAAATTACTTACTTAGTTAATCCAGAATAGTCCTGAATCAAAGAAGTGCTTTATGTAAAGATCAGGTGTTATTAATAATAAATACCTCTACAAAAAGGGCTTAGTAGAATGCAGCTCATGTTCTGTGAATTAATGATTTTTTTTTTAAAGTCAGTGAATTTTCTCCTTTGTACCTTCTTCTTCTTTCTTCCTTCAAAACCCCCAGTCTGTATTTTTCGTTTTGCATTTTTGAATCCGACAGCCTGGCTTTGTTCTGTATTCTGTACTGGTTTTATGATAGCCAAGTTGATAGGCTGACTTCATCACCAGTCTGGGGCAGACAGCTTGGACATTTGCAGCTTAGAGTAGGCAAAACAGGTTAGAATCTGTTATGTGAGGTGTCTCGTCCCCAGGAGAAAGAAGGATGTTAGTATTTTTTGTCAGTTTATTAATTTATGTGTATATAATATTTTAGTAAAGAATCAAGATTGAGTAAATGAATATTGTGTCCAGTTCTGGGCCCCTCAGCTCAAGAAGGACAGGGAACTGCTTGAGAGAGTCCAGCGCAGAGCCACAAAGATGATGAAGGGAGTGGAACATCTCCCTTATGAGGAAAGACTGAAGGAGCTGGGTCTCTTTAGTTTGGAGAAGAGGAGGCTGAGGGGTGACCTCATTAATGTTTATAAATATGTAAAGGGTGAATGTCAGGAGGATGGAGCCAGGCTCTTTTCAGTGATGTCCAGTGACAAGACAAGGGGCAACAGGTGCAAGCTGGAGCACAGGAGGTTCCACAAAACTGGTCAGAAAAACTTTTTCACTTTTTCAGAGCACTGGAACGGGCTGCCCAGGGAGGTTGTGGAGTCTCCTTCCCTGCAGACATTCAAAATCCGCCTGGACGTGTGCCTGTGTGACCTACTGTAGGTGATCCTGCTCTGGCAGGGGGGTTGGACTAGGTGATCTTTCAAGGTCATTTCCAACCCTTAACACTCCGTGATTCTGTGATTGTAAGTTAAAATTTGTGGAGGTTGTTTTTCGCATTTTTCTGGAACAGATGCAGTAGTCCTGTGTTGATCCGGCTGAAAGCTCTGTCCTCCTTACAGAGTGTGCTTTTTTTAAAGGAATACTGCAAATGACACTGACCTGTTAAATATTTTAATGCTTTTTTTTTTGTTGTAATTTTCAGCAGGGTAAAAAGAAAGTCGAATTTGGGAAGAGTGTACATATCATTGATTATGATCTAGAGCTGGACCCATCATTGTTTTTGACCTCTCGCCTGTATGATAGAATAAAACTGTAAGAGCTGTTTCCATAGTCAGTGGTAGCATTCATCAAAGGATTCATTCACAACAGTTGATACTCACAAATGGAGACTTGGCAAGTGTTCTGCAATGGGACTGAGGAAGTCTCCTGTGAATCTGTCACAGAGACGTAACTTTTTGTGGAATGTTCTGGTACTGCTTGTTAAGTAAAGATGCTAGAACTCAATCCTCAACATAATCCTACTGATGTACACTTTCTTATTCTGTGACAAATTTCTATTGTACCTCTTTCTCTCCATTTTTATGAGTAGCCAAGAATCCTTGCAGTTTGGTTGATGGATAGAAGTAGTGGCTAAAGGAAATGTAAAAACCTTTAAAACAGGTGACAGCCTTGGGGGAGTTCACATCTGAGCTGTGTATGAAATGCTAAGTGGAAAGACACCAGCTAAACTAAGGTTTTGACAGAGCACTCACGCTGAGATGTTGACAAAAAAGAGACGAGGAAGGGGCTACCTGAAGGGCAGTTCTCACGTTGCTAAAACTCTGCGTCTGATATCTGTGTGAAGGCCACATATGTCAGCCTGGCCCAACATTGGGAAAAGCTGCTATGGGACAAAACTCTTTGTGCCACATGAGAGAGTTCATGTGTTGGTGGTGTTAGCTTTCATGTGCTTAATGATTTGTGGCTCAGTCTGTGCAGTTTTTTCTCTTAGCACAGATAGTGTGATTTTGGAGGTTTGAGGGGGCGTGGCACTGAGACTGATGAGTCCTAAACTATATTTGAAGAAGAGGATCTGTCCAAAATACGCTGAAAGAGGAATGGATTGATTAATTATTGACTAGTCTTGAGGGTTGATTTATTATAGTTTTGATCGATTTTCTTAGTTAATAAAAATGTTTTCATCAGTTCTGGGAAGGAATAATAAAACCAAATTGGGTTGAGTTTTTATGTAAAGTAGTAACATGCTAAACACATTTATTGTTGTTGTTATTATTACTACTGTAATTTAAGTGGATTTTTTAAATGGTCTTTTTATCTGTTTTCATAGAGTCACATGTTTCTGTTTTAATGCAGAATTGTGGAAGTAGCTCTATTATTAAGGTCTGATTACCAGAAGACTACTCCTGCATGCACTTTGGTTTTCTGTAGAAAAATGCTGTTCTGTCTGTACAGATGGCTAGGTGATGGCCTGGTATTGATTTCAAGGCCACCATTGCCTCATAAGCTTTGATTCCCATAGGACTGTGTAATTGCTGGAAAAAATATTTCTCACTAATAATTCAGGAACCCTCAATCTTTTGCAGTAGATGCATTCATCTTTTAGGGAGGAAAGAAGGGAGAAAGGAGAATAATATTCCTTGGTCTTCAGTATGAAACATCCTTTCTGTACCTCTAGTTTTAACATGTGTTAGAAGGACCAAATGCAAAATGCAGCCTGCCTTTTTCATGCTAGGATTTTGTGTTGTCGTGTGTTTAGTGATGTCTCTTTCCTGCTGGAGATGATACTCAAGAGAAGGAACTCTTCTAATTAGAGTGGGAGGATGCTAAGAGCTATGTTTTAAACTTCTTTCTAATGGGAGGGAGTCTGATGCTAAACCCAGAATCTGGCTTCACTGCTGGCATTCTTCCCTTTCCCTGTGTTCTGTCAGCTTGAGTTTGACTATGTTAAAACATTCCTGAGACAATAAAACAACACACTTATGAAGATGTAAAGAGAAAGTATTTTACAGCTGGTAGAACTTGTAACTTACCTTGCTTTTCTTTAAAGCTTTGGGGACCTAGTGGAAGGGGAAGGAAGGTAGGTGTGAATGCTTTTATTCTGAGTTGATTTAAGTGTGAATTAACTTCTTACCTGAATAGGAAGAGTGTAAAAAAAATGAAACTGAAGCGTTTATTTTCCACAGCATGAAAAAAGGCCAATACAAACAAGACCTGACTAACCAATTCAGAAGAGACTGGTGGAGTTTGTTTTTTGTTTTAGCTGGTTAACTGGTGATTTCTGCTTGTTCATTAAACACTTACTTTCTTCACAGCTTTAGTAGCCAGGATAAACTTTTTTCCCTGGGTTTTTATTTTGAACCTTTGTGGAAATAATTTAAACCTAAAATCAGACTTTTTAAAACTAAATGCAATTTGCTTTAACTATTCTGTTTAATTAAAAACCAGAATTTGTGAATCTAAGAATTCATATTTCTTAAGTCCTGCTGGTTGAATGTAGAGAAGGAAAGTTCAAAAGCAACGTTGTGGCTTCTTTTCATTCAGTTCACTTTTGTGTTCTGATTGTAATTTAAAGTTTACTTGAAAGATTTTAATAGTTTCCTTCTGTGAGTCTGCTTTTTAAAGTGGAGAAACAGATGTGTACGTTCAGAAGGCAGCCTTGAGAATATAACCGTAACTTACAAATAAGAGAATGGGTGTGATAAGTCATTATCAAAGGGTAAGATGTGGTGTGAACTTGCAGTACATCTGCAGTAACCACCATGTCCAAATGGGATAAAAATAAGGCATTTCATCAATTGAAAAAATCTGTAAAACTCTCCTATACTTTTCGTATTTTCTGCTAGATGAAAACAGGCTCTTGAGAGCAGCAGATACAGTGTATTCATATTCTGCTGTACCCTGTCGCAACTTGGTTGTCCATTCATATCTGAAGTTACAGTAATCCACTTAATGCTAAAATTTAAAATACGTAGGTGAGTTTATATCAGATAGTAGACAGAATACAGTGAAACCAATCCAATACAGATACTTGGATCTTATAGGTACCATCTTCAGGGGTCAGGCTAGGAATGTTGTTATTTTTATTGCAGAAGAAGTGATGTTTAAAATGAAATTTGCTGTGTCTGGGAGCTGAGATATAGGAGTCTTATAAATCAGACTCTTTAACAGAATGGTTTTCTTATGTTTTGGAGCTTGTGCATAGCAATCTGTCTCAGTTTGAGGTGGAAGTTTCAGGAATAACCTATTTGAGCTCTGTTTCCAAACCTCATGTACCTGAATGAGTTATTTTAACAGTGTGTTAACCCCCTCCCCAGCTGATTACATGCATCAGTAAAAGATTATTGGTTTATAATTTTAGCACATAAATGTATCAATATTTTGCAATGTAGCTCAAAAATCCAGTATTTGCATTTAGCTGTAGGCCTTTGGGAAGAGCTCTTACCTAGTATTTCCACTCAGTTTAAAGACTTAAATTAATTTGTAAGTGCTAAATTCTCTCTCTTCTTTCTGTCTTATTCTAGGATGTTTTTGTATTTAGACATGAACTTGCACTCTTAAGAATATCTGCCTTCATGGGTCTAATAATATTAGGTGGAATAAGTGGACTCTTTTACACTCAGCTAATGGGTATTTTCACTGTAAGTATATAATTTTAGAAGTATATGTTAATTGTATTTTCAATAAAATTAATAAAAACAGAAAAGCACATTACATTTATTGGAAGAATAGAGAAATACTGGCACTATGAGACACCTGTTCAGTATGTGCTCTGTTAAGACTCTTGTCTCCAAAGAGATCTTAAGAAACCTTTTAACAAACAAGTATCTGATAGTTCATCTATCAAGGTGATTTCCTGATTGTATTAGAAAAATAAAACCATACATTGTCCTGGAATTGTGCAGTGTACAAGGTATGTATTTGTGGGTTTTGATTTTTGGTTTTATTTTAGCACTTCTCATATACACTGATCTCAATTATACTTTGTGACAGTGAGGCCCACTGGTAAGTCACACATTCTGAGAACGTGGACTTTTTGTTAAGTATTCTAATAAATATACGTACATTCGTATCTCTTCAGTTACTAAACTGTGGAATGGAATCATGTACAAATGCATATTCTGTATTTAAAGGTGTAGAAAAAAATCCTCTGCATCAAAAAATTATTCAGTCAAATGAATTTGGTAATGTAATAAACGTCTACAGGAAATAAGCTTTTGTTGCTGTAACATCCTGTTCTGTACATTAGATGTTAATCACTGCCAGTGGATCCTTTAAAGTTATTGTAAGAATGCACAGAAGTGTTTATAAAGTACTGCAGTCTTGAATCGAGAGAGTACATTAGGTAGATCTCTGTATGTCTGAAAGGTTGTATGTAAATTTTTTTTTAAGGACAGCAACAGCATCTTTGTGACTACAACTCATTGAGATGTGCAAGAGATTTCATTTTGGGATTATGAAGCTTCACACAGTATTAACCTTTGTAGGTACATAATGGAAAACCCAACTGTATTATGTAATTCCTTTGTATAGAATAAAGGAAAAAAATTATGGTATAAATTTTTCTTTTGTTAGATAAAGCAATACTATTACTTACTGTTTTTAGTATATTACTTTTACATACATTTACTCTTTGTGTGACTGCTCTTTATGTGACTGTAGCTATGCTGTATATTATTCTTGCCATCCTCCAGCTGCTCTACCAGACTGGTTTTCGCTTTCTGTCAACCCCTGGATCTACAGATTTGCCTTTGTGCCCCTTTACCATGTGCCTGATTTCTGTTGCAGGGTCTTGCTGACATGTTCTCACCTCCCTGTTTAAATGCTGGCACACACTTTTGTGTCTGCATCCTCTAGAGCTGAGATTTTTTTCTGATCTGATACTGTGGCCTTGCTGGGTACCTAGCTGAAGAGGTGCAGACCTCTGAATTCTGCTCACTCTCATTCCCAGTAGTGGGAGAGACGGAAACTTGGAGAGTCTTAGATTTCAGATGCTGAAATATAGATGTCTTCTTTGATCTCTGTTAAATGGATACATGAGACAGAACAAAAAGCCGTATGATCAGTACTATGCTAAAACACCGAAAATGATGAAATGAAAACATACATCTACCATCTACTTCTGTGTGCTGCCAGAAGCTGGACTAAATTGTGCTGGTGGCCATCAGCATCCAGTCAGGTACTATAAGTATGCATCAAATAAAAACTCTCAGGCTGAATCTGATTCTATCAGACACGCCTAAAACTCAGAACACTTCTGTTCTGACACAGGATACCAAGTGCCTCTGCAGCTGGCATGAATTCCCAGTGTTCTTTCACTCTTCTGAACTTAACAGTGTCAGAGTGTTGCCACCGCTGCAAACTTATAAAATGCTTTAAAGCTCCTTTATTCTATGTCAGTTGTATAATACACTGTGAACTACATCCCAGTGTACTTACTGAGCTGCCCACTACCCTAGAACAGGTGTGGGCTAAGAGCATTTTCAAGTCCGACCTCTCTTAAGTGCCTAAATGGTAGTTCTGTGGATTCTGTACTACGCCTGGATATTGTCTTCTGTCCTTATTGCCAAACTGAAAAAACCACACTACACTAATTGCTGATATGGATAGACTGTGAGAGGCAGATGCTCTAAAGTACAGATCTTCTGTATTAGGGCCTCTCATTGCAGCATACCTGTAGCAGAAGGCCTATTGGCTTGCCTGATATGGACAAGATTTTAGGTTTGGGATTGTTAGATTGGGATTATTAGGGAAGTAGAAATCTGTTACTGGGATTTCCAAACTAATTCATTCACGCCACATGGATGCTTTAGCATTGATTCACTAAAGAACAGGTCATCTATCTGCCACTCAAAGCATTTTCATACCAGCAGTGCAATCATCTTCCTTTTCATTTCTTTCTTCATGAGTATAGAATTGTCAAGAATAAACAATATGGTCATTTTGAGGAGATCTGCTTGGGAACAACTAGTCAGACTTCCGACAAAGCAAGCCAGCTCTATTTGGTGAGGTTGTGCTAAGTCTGCAAGTTTTGCCAGAAAATCTTTCTGTACAAATGTTTTTTGATTGTCAGCATCGTAGTGTGGGGATTTCCTTCCTTCGTAAGCTCTTGCTAACAGCTTTGGCTTGCCAGTGGAAAAGGCAGAGCAGAGGGCAGCAGGTGAGTGAGTAACTTACTGCAGGCTCCCCAAAGACTTAGATGCATAGAACAGGGAAACAAAGAAACTTGAGTGTAGCCACCCACAGGGCTGAGCACACTGTGTGGAAAACATTCAAGCCCCACAGAAGCAGTGAACCACCAAGAGACAGCCAAGTTCACACTGTGTACTGTGTTGGAGTTACTGTTCAGCATCTAACCTTTCTGTATAAACTAAGCAAGCTGTATCTGAAATGAGTTCTGTTTAAAATAACATTTAGCTGAAACTTAGCAGTGCCAAAATTGTGGGTTTTGAAAGAAAAATAAACTCAAGATTTTTCAAACTTCAAACTTTGTAGCAAAACTTCCTGATTATCCGTAAGGTAAATTTGCTTGACCATCACAGTGTAATCTTTCAGAAATGAACCCAATAGTTTCTGTTTTGTCTAACTAATACAAAGATAAGGCTAACTTCTTCCAGAATACTGGACATGCATATTAAAAAAAATCCCCAGTTCTGTCTTTCATTATGTTCTAGAGGCACAGAATGTGCTCTGCTCACTGTCAGTCTCACAGAAGCAACTTGGGATAGTGAAATTGCAGAATTGTTCATCCTCCTTTAGCATCATCAGTAATAAGGAACTAGGACCTGAAATGGCAACTCTTTGCTTTGTTGTTTATGGTTGACTTCCAAAGTCTGGTGCCTCTGCTCAAATCTGAATAGTGGGAATGCAACATGCATTATGAAGTGTGGTAGGTACTGTAGTTCAGAGTACTCATGCTGATTCTTCATATTTACGAAAGTTTATCCTTTTGCCGTGGCAGAAGCATAAAGTTGAGTGTACAGAATTAATTTGCATTAAGTGACCTTTGTATACAGGATTTCAGTAAGCAGACTTGCTCTTTACTAAAATTGAGCTAAGTGATAGCTTGACAACTGTAAGAAGTAGCGTATTTTAAGGGGAAATACTGGCATTTTCTCCTTTTTGATATATTTTTTCAGAAATCAAAAAATGTCATTCAGCTGAACATGTAATAGAAAGCCTATGTCTGATGCAATCCAGCATGTTTTTCTGAAACAGGGCAGTAGCTAAAATAGAAAAGCAAAGCAGCACATTATGATGTGCAAGTGAAATACTCTGCTGTGTGTGCTGGCACTTAACAAAATTCGGTGGTTTTGTGCACTTGACTGGTCTGTGCCTTTCATTGCATAACTCTGATGGGTTATAACAGTAGGTTCATTATGTATAAGTTCTTTAAGAAAAAAAATGCATGTAATCTGCTGTTACCCTATTTCATTTGTGTTCAACAGATGCTTGGAAAAAATGTACTCTCTGATAAAAATGAAAAGTTTGTAACTTATGCACTCACATTTGGCTCTTGCACAGAGAATATTCTTAAGGCTGTACTGCTTGAGAAGGTGGTTACTGGCCTAAGTTAGCTAACACGCAGTAATTTCTCTGAGTACATTTACTCCCTCTGTTACTGTGGTATCGCTGTTAGGGTATCATTAGCACAAGGCTGTTCATATCTCATCTGGAGGTCCAGGAAGCCAAAGAGCAAGGGAGGTGACTTCCTACAATGAGAGGAGAACAGCTGGTTGGCAAAAACTGTCCTTAGAGGAACTTTTGACATGAATTGTTCCGATGAAGAGGGGAGCAGCTGAGGTGGCCTCTGTATACAAGATTAGTGCTTTCTCCCTAGAAACTAGCATATGTGAAACACACTTCTAGCAGAAGGAGCACATGGCTCATTTCATCCTCCTTCTCCAGTTGCTTTCCCCAAGCTCGTGTTTGCCTTTACTCTCATCGTCATCCGGAATTTTAACACTTCTTCTGTGATGCCCCTGAGATAGCTCCTGGGGGAGTTTTATTTGAATAAATTGGAAATAGAAGTATCTAAGATCTCCCTAATTCAGAAGTTTCTGAAATAGGGAGAGATTTAAGATCCTAATTTAGGAGTTCTAGGAACCTAAGAAGAAACTTCTTAAAATCTTGGTATTAACAGTTGGTCTTCTTGATTCTGATTTTCCTGGCTCTGGAGAACTGGGTGGAAGAAATTAGTTTAACCCATGAAGATAGCACTGTCTGACGTAATTTCCAAAATGATCATGTGTTTATATTAAATGCCTCCCTATCTTCAATACTAGGTCCTTGCTTTACCAGTCCTCTATTACCTGCCGTTGCTTCTAGTGCAAATTTGAATTTTGTATTCCTTAACTGGAAATAAGCCTGTATTCCCAGGTGGCATGATGCTTTTTAATGATACTGCCTGAGAAATAAAAGCAAGCTTAGTATATAACAGTAAGTAAAAAAATAACGCCAACATAAAAAGATTTTTTGTCAGTTGCACCTTAGAAAAACTAAATGTTCTCCTACCAAGAATAATTTTGTTTTTTTTTTTTTTACTCCATACTCCAGACTACTAGCTGCTTGTTCTTCTACTAGCAATTGCTCCTGTTTTGCCTCAACCGTTACAGCTATAGTATAGACACTTTCAAACCCC